CGAAACAGCAGACTCGAGAAGGAAAACATAGCGGACGGAACCCTTTTAAAGCACGTCGGTTTTCACGATGCCCTTTCCTGAGATAGCTCAGTGCACGCACCCCTCTGGCCCTCTGCGTTTCAGGCAGTTGGCGATTTACTTTCTGGTTTATGTATATATTCCGATTCGGTTTTTCTGTACCACTTCCGTTTCTGCATTTCTTCCGCTTACGTTTCGGCTTCACGTTGCAATTTCTGCTTGGATTCTTCAATCAATTCTGGATTCACATCTGTGCCAATCTCTTTTGGGTGGGGCGTGCGGAAGAGCTGGGACCGAAAACGGGAGAGCTGGCTTAAACGGGAGAGCCAAGCTCAACGGGAGAGCTAGCTTAAACGGGAGAGCAGGCTTAAATGGGGCAGCTGGCTTCAGCGGGAGAGCCTGCTTAAGCGGGAGAGCCGGCTTGAGCGGGAGAGCCCGCTTAAGCGGGAAATCCAGCCTAGCACTGTTTAAGCTGACGAAATGGCGGAGGAGCCGGCTTAAAGAGGAAAGCCGGCTTAACCCGGAGAGCCAGATGAAGAAGGAGAGCCAGAGGAAGAGGGAGAGCCTGCTTAAGCGGGAGAGCCGGCTTAAGCGAAATAGCTGGTTTCAGTGGGAAAGCCGGCTTAACCCGGAGAGCCAAATGAAGAGGGAGATCCGGCTTAAGCGGGACTGAAGCCGGCTTAAGCCGGAGAGCTGGCTTAAGCGGGAGAGCCGGCCAACTTCAGCGGAATGGCTTCAGCGGGAGAGCCAGCTTAAGCGGGAGAGCCGGCTTAAGCGGAAGAGCCGGCATACGCGGGAGAGCCAGCTTAAGCGGGACTTATCTTATAAGCCGGCTTAAGCAGAGCCGGTTTAAACGAGACAGCTGGCTTAAGCAGGAGAGCCGGTTTAAGCGGGAGAGCCAGCTTCAGCGGGAGAGCCTGCTCAAGCAGGAGAAACGGAATACGGACAAGATGCCTTGGAGATCGGTGATAAACTGATTTAGAACTTGATTGCATACTGATCTAGAATTATTTGCATACTGATCAGGAATTCGTTTGTATACTGATCCCGAATACGCTCAGCTGCATACTGAGTTGGAGTTTGTTGGATACTGATCTTACTTTTTTTCGATTGTATGATGATCAGGATATCGTTTGGACACTGATCTGGAATTGTGTCAGATATTGGTCTGCCACCACCCTTTCCAAAATTGCTACCGCGGTTGCCCATCATCCCATAAATACCAAGGGAGGGGGGGAGAAGGGAAGAGGGACGGGGTTCTTACACGATCACTGTGCTGCCGCCAACGCAATTACAACTTTTTCTCCCTTGCCACGAAGCAACAGCGATCCCAGGACGCAGCAGTGCTAGAAGCCAGCGAGCCGAAGATATTTTCTTGAAACAACGAGGCCGCTAAGCAACGTCAGTTTGACTTGCACCTATGTCGCGACACACGGGCGAAACGAGAAAGAAGAATTGCGAGGAGGGCGACAGGGACGGGGAGGAGAAACGAAGCAGCATGGTTGTGAAAGTGGACTGGAGGCACAGGCACTGCTAGTTTTCTTTTTCCCCTATTCTGGCCCCCTCCCATTCCTCCCAGTCCGGCACCTTCCTATCCCAACCATGATGGTTGGTCCTTTCCGATGTTCCCCAACCTCAATGTCTTTTGCAAGTGCGCTCGCATCGCGCCTGGATTCCCCCCTCCCGTCGCCGGCGCAATCGCGCGATAACGATGATAATATAAGTATGTTTGGTTCGAGCCAATGGATCTATGGAAGGGCCCGCGTCAAGGCATAGACACTGAAGTATCACGTCGTCCGAGCAACATGTCCTCCGACCAACGTGCGGATCTTATTCCAACCTCCGCTAACCCCCCTAAACTCAGGAGCCAACCTGACGACCGCCACGGCACTCCTGCCGTCGGTGCCAGCGTCGGCATCCGCGTAAGCGTCGGGCTCGTCGTCGTCGTCGTCGTCGTCGTCGTCGTCGTCGTCGTCGCGTCGTCGTCGTCGTCGTCACGTCGTCGTCGTCACTGGCGTACTGTAATCGTCGTCGTCGTCGGGGTTTACGGCATGGGGTCGGGTCGGGCGTCTCCGTAGGCGCTGCTGTGGGCCTGGTCCCACTTGTCGGCCCGAGCCTGCCGTTCGGCGTCACGGGCCGCGCGCTCCGCCCTGCTCCTGAACTCCCGCCGGCTCCTGGAATTTCAGTCCCCGCTCGGGGTGCGCCAGACCGCGCGCTTCGCGGGCGCGCGTCCCCCGCGCGCAGGCCAGGCGGCAGCCCACAGGCATGTCAGGAGGGTTCCCATGCCATCCAGCAAATGCCAAAGGTATCAAGGACAACGCGCCGGTGCCAACGAGGAAGGCCAATCCGCCGAGGAGGACCAGGACCCCGTCTATGGCGCAGCGCAAGATTCTCTCCGGCGTGACGCAGCGACCGTCGGTGGCGTAGTCAGGGCCGTCGCTCTCGGCATCGAAGCCGTCGTCGTCGCAGGCGTTGGCGGGGGGTCGGCCTCGGGCGCCCCCGTCGCCGCCATCGGCGTTGTCCTCGTGGCGCTCATTGTCGGCGGCGCGGTCGCCATCGTCTGCGCTGGGTCGGTGGTCGGCGCGGTCGCCGTCCCAGTCGTCGTCGGCGTCGGCGCGGTTGCCATCGGCAATCGTCGGCGGCGCACCAGGCGTAGTCAGCGTTGGGTCGTCTTCGGGCGCGGTCGCTGTCAACGGCGAAGTCGTTGCCTCAGTCGCTGTCGGCGCGGGTTCGGTCGTCGTCGGGGCGATTACCGCCACAGTCCTCGCCGGCGGCGGCGCTTTTCCTGGGCGATCCTCCACTATGCGCAACTCCCCCTCCACTTCCATGTCAAGCGCGCGGGGCGCGCCAGCCCAACCTCCCTGGGTCCCCGTGGGGGCCTGAGAGCCCCCCGGCCCGCCGAGCACGGGCCCTCCCGCGCCGGGCGCGCAAGGTGCGCTGGCCCACTCACTCCAAGCCTCCATAGGAACCTGAGAGATCCACGGCCTCCCGATCACGGGCTGGGCCTTCCCACGCCGGACGCATGGGGGGTGCCTGCCCTGGGCCCCCATGAAAGCCTGAGAGCTACCCGGCCTCCAAATCCCCACGGGGGACCCCCGGTATCCTCGACGGCTTCGCCCCAACCTTCAGGCCCGCAAGTCCTGGAGCGGCAGCGGGGAGGCGATGGGCCCCCTCCTTGACTTAGTCATCCAGGGCGCCATTCCCTCCCATGTGCGCGGCGGGGAGTTGACCCCTGCTCCAGCTCTGGGTCTGCCTCGCAGGGCAACTCCAGGGCTTGCAGTTCCTCCTTTCCGGCCGCCTCATGCTCCGTTCCTCCGCACCCCCTGCTGGCGAGGGCCTGGTAGCGGGGCCCGGCGCTCCGCTCGATCCCTCGGCCAGACGGGGTGGGGCTGGCGACAGAGAGTAAGCCATGAGGCTCCCCTCCCCCGTCTCCTCCTCCACTCTGCATGTAGGAAGATCCTGAGGGAGGCCCCGCCCGCCGTCACCCTCGGCGCGGCCTGTGCTTGCAGAAAAAACAAAGCCTGGAATCCCACTCCTCCTGGCTCTCCCTCCCTACCGCATGTAGGTGGGTCCAGGGGGCCCCACCCGTGTTGGGGCGCCTCCGAGGCTGGACATTGCATGTCAGTCCCCTCCGCGATGGGATCCTCCTCTCCTGGTGCTGCCGCCCTATGGCCGAGACCAGCTAGCGTCAGCCCTGGGCCCAGCCCCTCTCCGAGGGATAAGAGTCTCGTGAGGGCCGGGACCAGGCAGATCCCATGGAGCGCGGACATGGGTTCAGGGGGAACCCCATTGGGAAAATGAAACCACCTGCTCGAGCCCAAAGGGCCATAGCATGGGAAGCTAGAGAGAGAAAGCGAGAGAGAGAGAGAGGGAAGGGAGCAAGAGAGAGAGAGAGAGAGAACGAGCGGCAGTCCACGAATCCAGAAGTTGAAGCTGGGGCACTAACAAAAACAGGTTCGTGGGTCCAGAGATGATTCTGTGCCCGTCTTGGAACGTCTTTGGACCGCCCTGGTGCGGCCCTGGGGTCCTGCTGGGCCGTGCTGGGGGCGTCTTGACGATGACGACGACGACGACGACGACGACGACGACGACGATGACGACGACGCCAGCCACCCGTCACGCTGCACCCCCCTCCACAATTACTCAATATGAATACTACTCTCATCTCTCCCCCGATGGCGTCCCAAAAGTTGCAGGCCCTCTTCCGCACAGTGTGTTTTTACACACAGGATGCGAAACAAATTCCGGGAATTAGTGTTTCATATGTTTGTTTTTCGATCCGAGTGTGTTCGGTTCTTCCGAAGAATTGCTCCCGCTGCAACGGTGGCCTCATTTTCGGGCTTCCGCTTTGTCTGGGTCCTCCCGCGTATTGTGTTTCTACACACAAGATTGGAAGACAAAAAAACATGCCAGAACTGTTTTTTCATGTGTGCTTTTCTCATGCGGGCGTGTTCGGTACTTCCAGGATGTTCCTCCCGCTGCGGCGTTGGTCTCCTTTTCGGGCGTCTGCTTGGTCCAGATCCTCCCTTGTGTTGTGTTTTACACCAGGTTGAAAGGGAGTGTGTTGTTCGCATTTGTTTTCCAAGCCGCACGTGTTTGGTTATTCCAACCTGTTCCTCTCGCTGCATGGCGGGCCTCAATTTCGGCTTCCCGCACGTTCCGAAGTCTGCTTCTGACGTGCGATGCCCTCCTCTGAGATGCCATGCTATGATATCATATTGTGCCTATGAGGAGGAGATCTGCGCCATGGTAAAGGATGGGAGGGAGGGATAGGACGTCAGATAGGACGCGCGCGCACCTAGCTTGACCCTCCCCCCCTTCCCTCTCTCCCCCTCCTCTTCCCGCCCCGCCCCACATACTCCTGGCACCTTCTCGTTCCTCGTCCCCTCCCTCTTCCCCGGCCGCGCCCACCTTGCCTCCCCCCTGTGCTTCCGTAACCTCCACCGACTCCCGGCGCGTAGCCCCCCCGCTTCCTCTGTTTCCTCCCCCTTCTCGCACGGAAAGCGGGGAGTCCAAAAGAGCAGGAGGAGTCTTTCGTTTGGCGACGCCCTTGCTTAAAGCCATGGCCAAAAGCATCACTCTGAGCGCTTACTGTCTCAAACGTTTGTTCATCACCTGTAACATCAATATTGGCACGGCAGCAACCAGGGAGAATACTGCGCTTGCAGCGAAAATTGCGCGGACGCCCACCCTGCTGCAGAAGTAAAGGAGCACGCAACTCACAGCGGCCCCCCCATGGCCAACCGCAAGGTTGAAGCAAGCTTGGAAGGTGGTCTGCAAGTGCGGGGGTGCTACGGTATTCGCGAGTCGCGCTGTGACAAACCTCACCGGGGCACCTGCGAGGCCATGGAGCATCTCCGTGAAGATCAAGAAGCCGACGCTCAAGGGTGTCGGCGAACTGTCAACCACGAACATTGCGAGGAGGCCTAGCCTGATACACATTGTCGCACAGCTAACGATGAAGGTCCCCTCGTAGCTGCCGATGAACTCAACTAGTTCGTTCTCAAGATAATAGGTCGGAATCTCCGCGGCAAGGGCAATGGCGTGGGATATACCGAGCACTGATAGCGGCATCCCCAGTCCGTACAGGTACGGAAAGAGTATATAATCTATTTGTCCCGAAGCCATGCCAATGAACAAGAAGCTCAAAATGAGTGGCACAAGGCCTAGCCCGCTACGGCTACACCAATCACTCTGAGTAGGTCTTTTTGCAATGATAGTCGACTCCACTGCCTTCACTTGCCCATACCACTCAGAGACCTCCTTCAGCCTGATTCCAAAGACCAGCATCGCGCATGCGAGGCATCCTGCAAAAGCTACAAGGCAATTGCTCGGCCCAAACCCATGCATTAGGCTGCTCGTGATTAGAGCCAGCACCATTTGCCCAAGCACCATGAAAAGGCGCTGCTTGCCGAAACTTTGGGATGTACCATTGCAAATCTTAGAATTATATTGGACCAGTTTAGTAGCTATTGCATCCCTCAGCGGCTGTGGGCCTGAAGATAAGAAAATGGCGACGAAGATGAGGCCCTGTATCCTCCTATCTGCCACCGGCAAAGTAAGGGCGCACACCCAAGCAACGACTGCAGTAATTGTAGACATGCTGAGGACGCAGACCATGGCCAAGTAGTGGTGGTCCAGACAGTCGACCGCTCGACAGAAGAGAACGGTCCCAGAAAGTATGACCATATTTACGAGGAAACCGAACACAGCGGCTTGCGCGAGGGGATCGTCCGAGTCCCGGGACGACGCCGCCAAAGAGAAATAGCGTTTGGAAACCACGTTGTAACTTGTGAAGAAAAAGAAAGCGCTTACGGATCGCCAGGGAACACGAGTGGACAGGCTTGATTCAAGAAGCACGTCTTCAGAAGACAATTTCCCCTCATCGCTGGAGACAGTAAAAGATATTTCAGAATCGGTTGATTCTTCCGAAGTGTCTGTCTCCCCTGGGCTTCTGACCGTACGAGACTGCTGTACTTTACTCCCCATTCACGTTCCACCAAAGTGTTTCCATGCGCCGAAAGTCAGCAAGGCCTTGTACCAACGACGTTTTGAGCCAAAACTGGCTGCGGATGATCGTCAAACATATGGTGATGGAATCGTCGTCTGAAAGCTAGCGCCTGAAAGTTTTGAAACTATTCGATGTGTTGGAAGAGCTGAGCTTCTCTTTTAACTGCTGATCGAAGCCCTCCCTGTAGGTAAGCACGAACCCGACCCACTCAATTCTGCCAAGCAATATGTTACCAAAACGCCTGCGCATCCCAAACATGTGATGCATGTGTTCATTGCTATCTCTCGTTGCGTACACTGCTATCTCCGACAAGACGGCCTGGCACATACGTGACACGAAAACATCACTGATCAAATCCGAAATTCGCCGGCCCAACGGGCCAGAGGCGTGCTAAGATCTCCGGTAACTTGTTAACAATAGTTCTAGTTCGCGCGCGCGGAGCGGCCCCTGGGGGCCCCCGGACGAAAAGTACCCCGGCAAGGTCCCGAGAGAAGCCCAGGAGAAGCCACCAGACCACTCCAGGGGAGGGTATTTTTGCGACACCCCTCACGAGGATCGTGGCCTCCGAGGGGGGAGCCGCAATCGACTACCCCCAAGAGCCCCCCAAGAGGCCCTGGGGGCCTCCAAAACGCCGCCAAGGAGCCCCAAGAGACTCCCAAGAGGTCCCCAAGAGGCCCCCAAGAGGCCCTAAAGAGGGCTCCAGGGCCGGCGGCATGAGCGAAGCGATTAAATAATGAAACGGGTGTCTAGTTCGTCGTCGAAACAATCAAATTTGAAGGCGCCAAGGGCGACATGCGGGCGCAGGATCCCGTACGAACAACTTCATAACCCCGAACGGGTACGGCACGCAACTTCTGCGCAAAAATGAAGCCATCTGGTAGGTAGAAGACATGTTGCACATGCCAAGATATGGGGAGCGCAAGACAAGCCGAACCCGAGGAAACGATAAAAAAAACCCGGTGATATCTTAGCACCGTAATTGTATTTGATATTCCGAGGGGGCATTTCCGCCGAACGATATCTTCAGCGCCGCGCGCAAGAAAACAAACAAACGCAGCACCGAACCCGTTTCTAAACAGGTGGCGACTATTAACAAGACCGCTCAACAAACAAGAACACACGGAAGGGTCTGAAAATACTCTCAACGCTTCGCCAAAAGGGAACAATGGAAAAACGAAGAAAACCACGGGACAATTAAGACAACGAAAGAGATTGTTCCGATGAGACTTCCATTTCAATCCCGTCTGAGAAATTGATTTTCTCCGGCCGTCGTAGGAGGTGGTCCACTCCAGGGTATCACCCCAGCCTCGCACCGAAGCGTTATTTTAGCACCCAGCAGGACAAACAAAAATCCCGAGGCAGAGTACGATCTGGTTGTGTTGTATTGTATTGTATTGTAGCGGAACGTAATGTAGTCTACTGTGATGTACTGTGCTGTGCTGTATTGTATTCTATCGCGTTGCATTGCATTGCATTGTATTGCACTGTATCCCATTGTATTGTATTGTAGATTGTTCTACTGTACTGCGCTGTTCTATGTTGTATCGTATTGTCTTGTATTTGTAATGTCTTCGCATTGTGTTGTATTGTATTGTATTGTACTGTACTGTACAGTAGAGTACTGTATTGTACTGTATTGCGCTGCGTTCAAGTGCATTGCAATGGTTTGCATTGTGTTGTAGACTGCTGTGCTGTGCTGTACTGTATCGAATTGTTTTGTATTTGTATTGTAATGTACACGGTTGTGTTGAATTGTATCGTATCGTAGTGTATTGTAACGTATTGTATTGTAGTGTAATGTAATGTAAGGAACTGTACTGTACTGTACTATGCTGTAATGTATTGTATCGTAGAGAACTGCATTGCATTGCACTGTATCCGATTGTATTTACTGTGCTGTGGTGTATTGCGTTGTATTGTATTGTATTGGGCTGCATTGTAATGTATTGCACCCCGTTGTATTTTATTGTGGTTTGCTGTTATGTGCTGTACTGTGATGTACTTCACTGTGCTGCATTGTATGCATATTGTGTTTGTATGTGTACTTCGTATTGTATTGTAGTGTACTGTGCTGTGCTGCACTGTGCAGAACTGTATTGTATTGCGTTGTAATGTAGAGCATTGCTTCGCATTGCATTGCGCCGTATTGTATTGTGTTGTATTGTACTGTACCTTACTGGACTGCACTGTGTTGTATTGTATTTGTAGTGTATTGAATTTGTAGTTGTATTGCATTGTAACATATTGTATTACAGTGTAGTGTACTGTACTGTGTCGTACTGCATTGTACTGTATGATATGGTATGGTATTGTGTTGTATTGTATCCTGTGGGACCTGCGAGACCTGCGGGACTCCGCGGGGCCCGTGGGATCTGCTGTGCCCCCCACCCCCCCTGGTGCCGAGATAACGCTTCCAGGGTGCGGGAAAGTTATCCCTTCGCCAGAAGGGTGGGTGAGTGGGGGGCGTGTGTGTGTATGTGCGTGTGTGTGTGTGTGTGTGTGTGGGTGGGTGGGTGGGTGGGGGGTGGGGTGGGGTGGGGGGGGGTGGGTGGGTGGGGGGGGTAGGTGGGTGGGGGGGGGTGGGTGTGGGGGGGGGGGGGGGGGAATCGCTTCCCGGGGCTATCGGGCATGTGACACGACGCGCCCGCATCCCCCTCATAGAAATTGTGCATCGTTGCACGTTTCAACGTCATATGAGGAGCGGACGGGCACAGGGTCCAAACATTACACTGCTCTTTGAAGATGTTTGCATCCGCGTGCGATGGTTGTCCCGATGGTTGTCCCAATGACTGTCCCGTCCCGATCGTTACCCCGACGGTTGTCCGGAGGGTTGTCCCAATGGCCGTCATTTTTTTGCATTGGGCGCACGAACGCACCGTGCACCGCTGGAATTCCAATATGGGACTCTCTGGCCGACGCACAATGCACCATTGGAGTTCCTAAATGGGACCCTAAGGCCAACGCCCAATGCACCGCTGGGGGCTCTCAGGCCGACGCACAATGCACCGCCGGGACCTTTCCTCTCAAGGCAAATGCGCGCGCCACGACGTGACACAACAGCGGCTGATTTAACTGCTAGCGAGCACCCGCTGGACCCCAGTCACAGAGGTAGAAGAAGCCAGCAGCTACCCCGCTGGAATGCGGCGGGCGACAGGAAAGACGGCCCAGGCCTTCTGAAGCGCACGACGTCACCTGCAGTGAAAGCGGATCCTCGCCTCGGAAAATAAACTGGAGTCGACCGTGCTGCCAACCCTCTTCTGCGCATGAGCGTGCAAGAAGGCGTCGCACGCTGACGCGCAGCAAAGTGCCGCCTCAGCAGACGGATGCGAGGACTGGAGAAGGAGAGAGGAGATCGGAAGAGTGTCGGCACAATCCACGAAGGCACCAACCCAGGTCCGAACGATGTCAAGTAAGCATGGGCATGCAATGTAATGTTTCATATAATTCAGTTCCGCCATCGGGCCCTCCGAGGTACACCCGAAGACACAACCGCGAGAGATCGCGTGTAACCTCGAAGTAATACAAACCCCGCGGCGCGCAATCCTCAGGGGAGCAGGCCCAAGATGCATTTTAGTCCGTTTGTGACGGTGTACTTGGTTTTCCCCATTACGTGAACACTCTCCAGAGGACTGGGGGTAAGAAGCCAGGAAAAGATCCTCTGCAAGAGACCAGTTTCGGGACAGTCGGCGAGGTCCACGGGATCTCGAGAGGCAAAAAGCAAGGAACCTACGCTAGAGCTTCTTCTTTGGGAAATCATTCGGCGCGGCAGGTTCGATCTGCGTGCGCTCGCGGCATAGGCTGCGCAATCGGCATGAGAAACAATGCCCCCTCCCCTCCCCGCCCGCCCGCCCACGCCATCCACTCAATGTCCGTGCAATGCGCACGTCGTCCTCAAGTCCAGCCCTCGTCCTCTCCATTGCAGCGGCGGCCCCCGGCCTCGCCTGTACCTGAGAAAAGGCGGGACTGGTAATCGACGCGCGTAGCTGCGCAGGTCGCTAATGAGGGGCAAAAGCAGGAAAGTCTGCCGGTAGTCCCAGTGCCTTAAGACCGCAGAGCACCTGCTTAAAGAACGAGACGCGCGGGGCAGCGGCAAGCAACTGAATACTGGCATCATATACCTTGCGCACCTCGCGAACCTGGGCGTATAACTTCAGAAGATAGCTAAACACCGACAAACATGTGGACGTGCACATCACAATGGTTGTCGCCAGTCCAAGCCTGAGGTTCCGCAAGAATCGGACTCGTTGTTGAAATTTGTCTTGCGCATCCCGCCGCGCAAAGTCGCGCCCCTCAGGGCCGATCTCCACGCCGATATTTCGCATGAAGTCCCAGTCGGACAAGCCCAAAGGTCGCCCCAAGAGTCCGAAGCCAAACCGCCACGTCCGCACCAGACAGCCCACCCGTAAGAACCAATTGACATTTCGCGTAATTGAGTCGAAAACCAATGCTGCTGTCAGGGGCCCCTACAGCGACATGATAAGAAAAAACCCCGCGTAGATATCCGAGATACCAAAAAGTAGGTCGTCCGCGTGACCTAGACCACTGTCGATATGAGAGCTACCCTTCTGCGCCAACCACCCGAGGATGGGATCAATGGCGACAGAGAAGAGACGCGTGCTGGTCGGGTCACCTTGCCGTACCCCACGTTCAATTTTAATGCGTTGCAGACGCGGCCCTGCAAGCGCAACAGTCGCCGCATTATCGGTGTATAGCGCAGCAAAGAAACATATGACAGGAGTAGCGGTCGACATAACGCTAAGTAGATAAGAATCCAGCTGACGAAGAGGGATGGTAACCCTGCACCAAAATCCGTTAGTGGTAGCAGAGCAGAGTTTGGTTTCCCATGAAGCTACTGTTGGGGCCCCCGTTCCTCAGCCTCCATCACATTCGAGGTGGTGCTCCTCCCACCAGCGCCGCCCGACTGCGTGGGATCGACTGTATGCTTCGCAACAGTGGCGAGTGGCAAGCCCATCGCCTTTGACAGCGACTCGCAAGAAGTATCCGCAAGCGCAAATGGACGCGTCTTACTGGCATCGCGATGGAGCGGACTCCCCTGGCCAGTCGACTGCGGCCCTTTGGGGAGAAACGAAAGT